GAGCAATCCTGGCTATGTGGGAGGACAGATAAAGGGACAGCATCACGAATGTTGTCATGAGACGAATGGGTGGCCGTGCCAGTGGACGAAGTGGCCGGCTGCTCTAGATCATCTACTAGAAGATCGTCGTCCTCTAAAAGGTCAAGATCCGAAAGAGTGTGTGGGTCCCTAGAGGAAGGCTCCGCCTCCTCCTGTGACTCAGGGGAGAGGGGCGCAAAGAACGAGTGTTTGGCCCTGAAGGCCGACTGAAGAGTCTCTCTGGGAATGAAGCCCGTAGCCTTGGCCTTGGGCCCAACTACGATCACTCGGTCTGACTGGACAGGTCGAGCGTCCTTCCCAGTTTGGGCGTCGGCGATCATCTTCGCCTTGCCCTTATCCGTGGCCCCTTTTGGGGACCCGGGTGTCTGGAGAGGGCCTTTGCCATTTCCCTTCGGTTCCCTCCGGCTGTTGGAGGGTCCCGGCTGAGCCGTACGACGGCTCTGAGGTGGAGCGGGACGTGGCTTATTGCCACTAATATAGCAGTCGGCCGCTATATGACCAACATGACTGCACGCGGAACAGAAAGCGGGGATCTTCTCGTAGATCACCCGCTGAGCAAAGGTCTCTGAACCCTGCTCAATCTCAATCTCGTGGATTGGCTCCACTCTAAGATCAATCTCGACACAAAATCGCGCCATATTAGCCCTGGACTGAAGAGCAGTCGGGGCATCAATGCGGACCAGTTTTCCGACACACTTAGCAAGTGTGGTGATGGAATCCCGGTCATACAGATGTGGTGGGAGGCCGAGGAGGCGGCACCACACGGGGACGACCGGCGTCTCCGTCTTCGGGTTGAACCCAGAAGTGTACTTGAATACCCTAGCTGGGCATCCACACACAGAGATAGAAGTCCTAAGCCATGCCTCGTTATAATCTTCGGGGAGATTAAACGAGATTAGAAGATGATTGAAATTATACCACTTAAACGAGAACCTACCCTTAAAACCCAATTTTCCTAATCCAGCAGCTAGGTCTCGGGGGGGAGGGATCGCATAGGTGAACTTAAAAACCAGTGTGTTCGCTAACTTACCTCCGAGGGTGTCAGCTTCGGCCTGTGAGAATCGGACCTTCACTTTGTTCCCCTCCGAGCGGATGATGGTCCCGCAAGCCTGGTCGTAATCCCCGTCAAAGAGGAACTCCTTGGGTGTCGGTCGCGGGGAAATCTTGGCACCCGAAACGTCATCTCTCTTCCCCGTAATAGCCTCACGGAAAGAGAGCGGGCCAGTGGAAGTGCCCGGCAGAGATTCGGGTGCAGCAGGGTTTGCCGTTGGGTTGCTCGGTTGAGGCTCGGGTGCAGTAGGTGTGGTCGTGGAGGTGCCCTTCAGAGAGGGTCCGTTTGTAGGTTGACCGAGAAAGTGTGGCGTGGACGTCTTGCTTGGGCCCGCCACCACAACACCATCTTCTCGCATATACATGACGTCCGGTTTAGAATTTCTGGTTGTAAGGGTGACGGTTCCGGCGAGATGGTTGGACGGAGGATGTGTGCTAAGCCGAGGACCGAGAATTCCGGCAAGTTGTGCACCGGTGATACTAATAACGTTGCCGGCGGATGTAGGATTTCTGGCGAAGTCTCCGGCGCCGGCGCTAGGGTCGACGGAGGGTTGCTCGGCGGCTGTTGGTGCGGTGGGGGCGGATGGGGTGGGTTGCAGTTGAATGATATCCGCTACAGCAAGGCGTTGAGCGGCCTTTGTGTGATTTAAAGCGGGCTGGGCTGGCTGATTTTTAGGATGGATTGAGTGAAGGCTGTTGGGCTGAGAGGTAAGAATGGCCTGGGAGGTTAAGGTGGGTGAGGTGGGCTGAGAGGAATTTGGGAGAGGGCCCAAAAAATTGTTGATTAAGTGAGGGGGGAGATTTGGGCCTGGGGAGAGGCCCAAATCGATTATCATCAATCGGGTTGTCCAATTGGCAAATGGGTGAGGTCATGTGATGGAGCTGAGAGGTAGGGTTCTGAATTACGCCACATGTGGGTTGGATCCTGTGCAAGGTGTTCACCGGCGGAAGAGAGGTGTCATCATCTAACCGAGCCGCCTTCATTATCCGATGCCCAAATCGAGCGGGGGGTTCCACTTCGATGCCGACGGGACCAATTGAAATTCCGGTCGAAGATGGAAATGAGTTATTCACAGCTACAGGAGGTACGGTGGCGGAGCTCCCAGCTGCGATACGAACGACGGCGGGATCGGCGGGATGGGGGCCGGAGGTTGTGATTGGAGTTGCGGATGGGGCCGTGACAGAGGGGGTGATGCCTGGCAAAAGCTGTTGAAGGACCTCTGAAATAGCCTGTCTAAAATCCGGGAGTGAAAGGACTGCGGCGAGCTCTGATTGCGAGGCGGCCGGAGCCAAGGAGGTCGCCGGTAGTAAGAGGGTTGGAGGAGCTGAGGTGAGGGTTGTCGAGGGAGACGGTAGAGGTTTGGGTAAGGGATCCATAATAGCGAACTGGGGTAAAAAGGCAAAACCAGCGGCCAAGGGCCGTGGGCCGCCGGCGGCGGCGGCCGAAGAGGACGACTATGTGGTGGTGGTGGTGGCGGGTGTGGCGGGTGTGGAAGAGCTGCGGTGGCTGAATGTGGTAGGGGGGAGAACAAACCTAGAGAGAGAAATGTAGAGAGAAATGTGGAGGAGCATTTGCTAGGTTATTTCTTTCTTGCTGCTAGGTTAGTTGTTAGTTGTCTGATACTGCTAAGTTAGTTGTATTATATTGCTAGGTTTTTTTTTATAAAAATATTGTAACCCATAGGATTTGAACCTGGTACCTCATAGAAGCAAGACAAGCAATGCAACCAGTACACCACTCAAGGTGAGTGTCTTTTGTTGCTAGGTTATTTGTCAACGGGTCAACGCCAGAAGTCAACGGTCAACGCCGGAAGTCAATGATTTTCGCAGAAAGTCAATGCCGGAAGTCAACGGTCAACGTCGGAGTCAACGGTCAACGCTGGAGCCAACTAATAATTATTTTATTATTTAATTAATGTATATTTTAATTGATTTTAATCTAGACAAAATGAGTGACTAAGATTGAGTCTCACGTACACATTTTAAGGAGTGGTCTCATTGAGAATGGTAGATAATGAAAGAAATAAGAATAAATCTAGACCATTCGATACATCATATAAATGGTCATGATCAAGTCAACCTTTAATAAAGGGTAATTGTTATTTTAGTACCTGTAGTATGGGGTAATTGTGATTTTGGTACCTATTCTTTATTTATTGCGAAAATACAACTTGATCTTTACGTTTTTGCAAATTTGGTACCTAGTATTGACGTCGGTCTACATGACTTTACGTTTCGAACTCGTTTGGGCTCGTTCGAACTCGGAATTGAGTTCCGTTTTTTTCTACGCATCGCCAATGAACTCCTCTATTCAATGATGCTTGTATGACCAAAATTATTCTTGAAATACTATTCTCCCAAAGCTTATGATCAGCACACCAAAGACGTGCTTCGCGCGACTTTGCGCTTTGGGCCTGTTCGAGCTCCTCCAAACTTGGAATTGAGTTCTGCTTTTTTATACATGTCGCAACGAACCCTTCTACTCAACCGTGGTTGCCCGATCAATTTTAGGGCCAAATTTATTCCTCACGGGGCTTCCAACCTGCACATTAAAAACGAGAAGAAAAACAAAAAGAAAACCCACGGCACAATAATCTACAAAACGAATAAAACTCAACGAAAAGTCCTAAAATGAGGGGAAAATAGTGAAAAAAATAAGAAAAAACATAAAAAAATAGAATAAATACTTGCAAAAACTCCATCACTACTAGTTCAAATTCTCCAAAAAGCTTAACGTTTGAATTGACAAAAAATTAAAAACTAGTAGTGATGGAGTTTTAGCAAGTGTTTGTTCCATTGTTTTACGTTTTTTTCTATTTTTTGTCACTATTTTTTCTCCATTTTGGAACTTTTCGTTGGGTTTTATTCATTTTTGTAGTTTATTGTGTCGTGTTTTTTGTGTGCAGGTTAGAAGCCCGTGAGGAATAAATTTGGCCCGAAAATTGACCGGGCAACCATGGTTGAGTAGAAGGGTTTGTTGGCGACATGTAGAAAAAAACAAAAATCAATTCCATGTTTGGAAGAGCTCGAACGGGCGCAAAACGCGAAGTCGCACGAAGCACGTCTTTGGTGTGCTGGTCATAAGCTTTGGGAGAATAGTATTTCAAGAATAATATATTCATACAAGCATTATTGAATAGAGGGGTTCGTTGGTGACGCGTAGAAAATAACGGAACTCAATTCCGAGTTCGAACGAGCCCAAATGAGTCCGAAACGTAAAGTCATGCAAACCGACGTCAATACTATGTACCAAATTCGTAAAAACGTAAAGATCGGGTTGTATTTTCGTAATAAATAAATAATAGGTACTAAAATCACAATTACCCCATAGGACAGATACTAAAATAACAATTACCCTTTAATAAATAATTGTCAATCATTAATGGCAATGTGGTAAATAAGTAGACATATGATAGTCAAATGTATAGATTTTACTACTAATTAGGGGTAATTTAGACAATTGAATCAAACACACCATGGCACCCACCACCTCACATATTAACCCACCCCTCCACCTATCCCGTCAATCACCTTCACACACACACACACACACACACACACACACACACAATTCTTCACACACACACGCAGAATCCGACCAGTGTCTCCTCAGGGCGGAGCTCCGCCGCCATGTTGCTGCAATCCGCCGCATCGCCTTCGCAGCCCATCGCCAGAGACGGATGCGAGGATGCTCAGGCGAAAACTAGCCATCGTCTGTGTAGGTTCGCCGCCCGTCGTAGATGTAGCCATACCGATCACCGCCGACGGAGTCCGCTCGTGCCCCTAACAATTAAATCCACCATCGCCAACACAAGTCCTCCGCCAGGACCGACACCAGTCGGTGAAGATGGAGACAGTGACGACAATAATCGGACCGATTATTGTATTTTTGTTGTGGCTGTATTTGTCTGCTATTGTTGACCTCGAGGGCGGCGATGTGGTTCTAGAAGTGCTGGCGGCGGTGGGGGTGGCCTGACAGGGACTCCGACGGACAGGGAGTTGACAATGGTGAGAATTGGGGATTTTAGGGTTTGTGATTTGGGGCTTATTCTGCCCTTGTCCGGTGGGTCATGAACGGCGGCTGGTGGTGGTTGCCCTCGTCGTGGGTGCTGTTGTGATGAGAAGGCTAGCGGCGGCAGGGGGCGGCGCGATGGTGGTCTGACGATCGGGAATTTGGCAGTGTGCTTGAGGGATTTGTTGGGTTTGCTTTTGTAAATTAGACATTGCATAAGGGTCTTTGTGCAATTTTTAAAAATCTATATATATGTTTATAATATTGTCCACATTAAATCTGAAAATCATTTAAAAGAAACAATAAATGCATAATAATGGTACATAGAATGCACATTAATGTGTGTGCATGTGCACATTAAAAATGTCTACTGAAAATTTTAATTTGGTTGACTTTGGTCTATATTGTGCAATCACTTAGTCATTAAAGTGCATTCCATTTACCGTAATTGTGCAATCGCAAAGTATAAAAATACAATAATAATAGCAATAATAATATTTTTATATAGTTCGTTCGTTTGGTTATTTCGGTTAAAAAAAAAAGTGACATCAAACCAAGATAATCGAGTTTTTCAATGTAAAGAAAGTATATTAAACCGAAATATAAAATTTTGAAGAAAATTATATTTCGATATCGTGTAATAACCAAAATATAAAATTATTAAACCGAAAAAAATATAGTTTGGTCGAGTTTGGTTGATGTTGTTCAATTAGGTAGTCGTTAAAGTTCAATTCGTTTAAATTTATTGTGCAATCGCAATGCATACAAATATAATAACAGTAAAAATAATAATATTATGGGCAAGTTGCAATCAGATTCATTAAACCGGTCCTTTTTTATTATTATTATTATTCTTTTTTTGTCCCAAATCAAATTGAAATAGAATCGAATTATTTTCTTTATTATTATTATTTTTATATTATTTTTAGTTAAAATAAAAAATTGAGTTCGGTTGGTTTCATTATTTATTCGTACGATAATATAGTCGTGATAAAGTGCAATGTGTTATTTTATATGCAATGTATTGTTTTATAAAGTGCAACGTGCTTATGTATAAAGTGCACTACTGTAATTTTGGTATGTTAGCATGCTTGTGTTTATGTTGACAAATGATGTGATGCATGTTAAAATATTATGTAGATACATTTTTTTAGATTTATTTTGTGTGGTATTTTGGCGAGAACAATTAACAAATTGTGGAGTGTGATGATAAAATGTAATTTGTCGTTTTATAAAGTGCAATGTCTTGTTTTAAAAAGTGCAACGTCATGTTTTATAAAGTGCAACATGCTTATGTATAAAGTGCGCTATTTTAATTTTGGTATGTTAGCATGCTTGTGTTGGGATCTGTGAGGATCTCGTTATGTACAAATCACGAATTCAATAGCAAACGTAAACCTATGCGCAGCGGATCTAAAGGTTTGACGTACAGAACTTACGGCTTAAAATTTATGTAGATCTGGTTGACCACGAACGGTTGACCGCAATTGATTGACCGCAAATCACGTCTTGGGTTGCGCGAACAAGATCAGATCAAAACTGGATCAAACGGATGCAAACAGATCAATACGAAATTTTGCTGCCTGGCATCTTCCGGCGGCGCGTGGAGGCGCGTGCAGCATCGGATTCCGGCAACGTCGGCGGCGATGGAAAGCACTCGTCGAGACGGTCGTCTGGGTATACTGTACGTCTCAATCGGAATTCCGGTTAGTTCTGTAGGTCAAAATATATTTCGTCTCGTTTTACCTACAGATCTTCTACTGTATTACTCAATACACCCTTCTTCAACTTGTACCAGTGGAGCAACAAGAAGAAGATAAAGCTCGAATGAGATCTAGAGAGAGAGACGGGTTTCACGTGAGAATGAGACTTCTATTCTCTTCTCATGAGCTTAATGATGTATATATAGAGCTACAGTAGGGACCCTAAGGAGATTAGGAAAAGGGCTCCTTAATTAATTAGACTAACTGTGGGCCAAACCCACTCCTCTAATTAATTAAATAATATTAATGGGCCACCAACATTATATTATTGCACTCCCTTTCCCTAGCCCAAATTACATTTGAGACTCCAATAATAATTACTCGATTTACCTCCCCACGTTTAAGATATAATGTCCATTAATTAATTCGATTACTGACAATCAAGAATTAATTAATTTATTATTATTTCACCGAAGCTAGCGCTCGTTCATCACATTCTTATTATGCCGGAATTTAATCCACCTGCAGGGTTTAGCATAACAATCCTTCATGAACTCACTCCGGGGACATCATCAAACTAACGCACATGGTGACCGTAAATATCCTAACAGCACATCCTATATATAATAATATTACCCAAAACAGTAGGAATATTAATCCAGCGAACTGAACCTCACCCATGTGAATCAAAGTAATATATATTATATATATCTGCCTGTTTAATATCTTACGGGTTAAGAGAACGCAGTAATTAACCGAGGCCTAGTTCATTTACGACGATCAGTATAAAATGAACTTCTCCTCTCTGGGATCCTGTTCAATACATAAATGTACTAGTGCAACTAATCAGTCAAGACAAACTGTACAGTTGACACTACAACCGTTCGGATGGAGTGTTCATGTCCATCTAGGTTGTGAACAACTATTCTCATTCGCAAGTGACTGATAGAGTGATCTTCGGTTCGCCCGATGACGACCCACCCTATCTAAGTGCAGAACAACAGAACGTAGAATTTGTTTAATCTAACATGATTCTCATTCATAAAGGGTAAATGTGCAATTATCATGCAAAGTCAAGCTTTCAGTATATAACACTAACAGCTTGTGTTTTATGTGGACAAATGATGTGATGCATGTTAAAATATTATGTAGATTCATTTTTTTTAGATTTATTTTGTGTGGTATTTTGCCGGGAAATATTCACATTAATTGTGGAGTGTGATGATAAAATGTAGCTTGTTGTTTTATAAAGTGCAACGTCTAGCTTTAAAAAGTGCAACATCTTGTTTTATAAAGTGCAACGCGTTATTCTATAAAGTGCACTAGTTTATACGATACTAGATAAATTATGTGTATTCAAAAACTAGTTTTAATAGATATAATTGTACATCGAATTAACCTAAATTCTTAATATATTTTATTATTTATTATTATAAAATATATTTAATATTAAATTTATTTAATATTTTATATTATTGTTTGTTGAAAATAAATAATATATATATATATATATATTGAAATATAAAATATTTTATTTATAAAATATTTTATAAAATATTTTATATTATAGTTGAAATATTTTATAAAATATTTTATATTGAAATATTTTATTTATAAAATATTTTATATTATAGTTATAAAATATTTAATAATTGTACACTTTAGAATCATTAATATGCATTTATCACAATGTTGCTATAAATTACATACTTGCCATTTTCCAATGGACCATAATTAAAAATACTCAAAGTTCATAAAATTGCAAATACGTCCTTCAATATTCTCTAATTTTAAAAAAAAAAGTCAAATGAGACCTAATTCCCAAATCAATTTTTGCAGATTCCATCGGATCTTATGACGCCATCTCCGGCGACCGCGACCATCCTGGCTCGGGTCTGGAGTCCATATCAGCAAGCACCGAGCTCCTGTTGAACGCCGCCGCGTGGACGGCCCGTCGGCATCCTCCTCGGAACAAACATTCGCGACGCTGGCCACGGAGACCTCTCCGACGACACCGATGTGACCAATTCCGACTGCCAGGTTCAGGAACAGCCGTGTATCTAAAAGGTAAATCGGTTGGTGTCACCGTTGAAGACGACCTTCTTGTCGGATTTTGAGCGACGGGAGACGATGGATGAAAAAGGGCCGCGTGCTGTTGTATGTTGATTTCTCCGGTGTTGGCGCCTGTTGCACCTTAATCGACGAGGTGGAATAAGGATGACGAAATGACGGCGGCCGGTTCTCGGGTGGAGGAGGATGTCCGAGTCGTCGAGTTCAGCGGCGGCAATTTGAAGCTCCGACGGCGTGGCATCACGGCTGAAACAGCAGACGGGAAGCGACGCCTAAGGAGTCGGTCACGCCTATTGATGGTATATGTTTAATCTAACATGATTCTCATTCACAAAGGGTAAATGTGCAATTATCATGCAAAGCCAAGCTTTCAGTATATAACACTAACAATCTCCCACTTATACTTAAAGCTTTCGCTTTTACAGTATAGTCCTATCAATCCGTTATTCTAACAGACCTATGTCGATCCTATTGCCATGCATCCTCTGATGCAATCTTGGCAACATCAACGCCTCCTCTACCAACGATATCCCTTCGAATCAGATGGTATTTGCGCTCTATGTGTTTGCTTGCCCTGTGGGCTCAAGGTTCTTTTGAGTTCTCTACTGCTCCACTGTTATCACAGTACACGGTGATACCACGTGGCAAACTCGGTATAACCTCTAAGTCCACTAAGAAGTTTCTAAGCCATACTGCCTCTTTCGCTGCCTCTGAGGCTGCTATGTACTCGGCTTCCATGGTGGAGTCTGCCACGCATTTCTGCTTAGCACTCCTCCATGAAATGGCTCCACTTCCCAAGGTAAACACATAACCTGAGGTTGACTTACTTTCATCCTTATTTGACTGGAAATCGGAATCACTGTAACCCAGAGGTAACAAGCTGTCTGCACGGTAAACTAACATGTACTCCTTAGTCCTTCTCAGGTACTTGAGTATATGCTTCACCGCAGACCAATGTTCCCGTCCTGGGTTACTTTGATATCTAGCTACCATGCCAACGGCGTAGCTAATATCTGGCCTAGTGCATAGCATAGCATACATGAGACTTCTTACTGCCGAAGCATAAGGAACTGTCTTCATCTCCTCTATCTCCTTAGACGTCTTAGGAGACATATCCTTAGATAGAGGTATTCCATGTCTGAAAGGTAACATACCTTTCTTGGAACCTGCATGCTGAATCTGGCCAAGACAGTATCTATGTATGAAGACTGGGATAAGCACAACATTCTCTTCTTACGATCTCTAATGAGCCTAATACCAAGAATGTGTCCTGCTTCACCTAAGTCCTTCATATCAAACTGCTTAGACAACCACACCTTTATGTCTGATAACTCCTTCTTACTGTTTCCAATAAGCAGTATGTCATCTACGTAAAGCACAAGAAACACCACCACGCTCCCACTGATTTTCTTGTAAACACAGTGCTCATCCGGACATTGAGTGAACCCGTACGACTGGATCACCTCATCAAAACGGATGTTCCAGGATCTCGAAGCTTCTTCAGTCCATAAATAGACCGATTAAGCTTACACACTAGATGCTCATGACCTTCAGCAATGAATCCCTCTGGTTGCTGCATATAGATGTCTTCCTGCAGGTTCCCATTAAGGAAAGCTGTCTTGACATCCATCTGCCAGACCTCATAGTCCATATGAGCGGCTACAGCCAAGAGAATCCGAATGGACTTAAGCATAGCTACTGGCGAAAAGGTCTCATCATAATCAATACCCTCGATCTGGGTATAACCTTTCGCAACAAGCCTAGCTTTAAAGGTTTGCACCTTCCCATCCAATCCTCTCTTTCTCTTATAGATCCACTTACATCCAATGGGTCGTACCCCATCGGGTAGTTCTACAAGATCCCAGACCTGATTGGAGTCCATTGACCCCATTTCAGCTTTCATTGCAACATTCCATGAATCTGCATCTTTATCTTGGAGTGCCTCATCGTAAGTTCTTGGGTCCGATTCTAGGCCTCCTGGAACTGAGTCTGACGACTCTCCAAGACCTATCCATCGGTCGGGTAAATGAGAAACCCTCCCACTGCGACGAGGCACTGTCTGCACTGGTACACTCTCAGTGTGTCGTGTTGCAGTATTATGTGATGTATCTACTTGCGCACTCGGTGGGGAACCATCGCTTTCACCCCTTAACTCCTCTAAGACTAGTCTACTCGCGGGCTTATGATTCATAATATAGTCTTCTTCCAAGAATCTAGCGTTCGTCGAAACGATCACCTTCTGATCCCCGGGACTATAAAATAATCCACCTTTCGTTTCCTTGGGATAGCCTACGAAAACTCGTGCTTCCGAACGTTTCTCCAACTTGCCAGGTTCCTGCACTAACACGTGTGCAGGACTACCCCATACCCGAATATGTGAAAAGCCTGGCCTACGCCCTTTCCACAATTCGTAAGGAGTAGTATCAACTGACTTCGATGGAACCAAGTTCAGAATGTACGATGCTGTTTCCAGCGCCATTCCCCAAAACGAATCTGGTAACCTCGAATAACTCATCATAGATCTAACCATCTCCATAAGTGTCCTATTTCTTCGCTCTGCAACCCCGTTCTGCTGGGGCGTGCCGGGTGCAGTCAGTTGGGATTCAATCCCAGCTTCCGATAAGTATGTCCTGAACTCTCCAAAAAGGTATTCGCCACCTCGATCAGAACGAAGTGACTTGATACATTTACCATGAAGCTTCTCCACAACTGCCCGATACTCCTTGAATTTCTCAAAGCATTCGGACTTGCGGTGCAACAGATAAACGTACCCAAATCTCGAGTAATCATCTATGAAAGACACATAGTACTCGAAACCTCCTCTAGCCTGGATCGACATAGGACCACACAAATCAGAATGAATCAATCCTAGCACTTCTTGGCTCCTATACCCCTTTGCCGTAAACGGCCTCTTGGCCATCTTACCTTCTAGGCATGATTCGCAAGTTGGATAGTGCTCTTCCAATGGACCGAGATGTCCACTGGCCACTAACTTTTGAATCCTCCTAAGGTTGATGTGTCCAAGTCTAAGGTGCCACAGATATGCTTGATTCATCTGCGAAGACTCCTTCCTCTTATTAGATGTAGTTATGACATTATTCAATTCATTATGTTGCACTGTGGGAGAGTTCGGTTTGAGAACATATAAATTGCCAACTAATGAACCACAACATATGAAACGATTTTCAAAACGAATAATAACCATGTCATCAAACGAAACTGAAAAACCATCCATAACGAGTTTAGAAACTGAAACAAGGTTCTTTCTAAAACTAGGAACATAAAGGCAATTTCTCAAAACCAAACTACTACTATCGAACGATAAAGTAACGTCTCCCACTGCAACAGCCGCCACTTTCGTAGCATTGCCCATGTAGACGGTGATCTCTCCCTCCCTAAGTCGCTTGGTTTCCTGGAACCCCTGCAAAGAATTGCAGACATGATCAGTGGCTCCAGTATCTACACACCAGGTTCTGGTAGATACAACCGCTAAACATGTTTCTACGACATTAACGAGAGAGTTACCTTTCTTGAGGAGAGGGCAATCGACCTTCCAGTGTCCTGACTTATTGCACTTGTGGCATCTTCCTTTCGGTTTCTTTGCCACAGCCTGAGGGGTCGGTCGTGGGTAAACCGGAGCATCCTGTGCCTTCACCTTTCCTGCAGACTTCTTTCTCTTCCTGCCCTTGTGAGGCCTGGAAGGTCCAGCCTGCTCGGCGACTAGCACCTGAGGTGCTTGAGTGAATAAGGCCTCCGCCGACTGAAGCTCTGCAAGCAGTTCTGGAAGAGCCATATGCATCTTGTGCATGTTGTAGTTCAACCGGAACTGATCAAAGCTCTTCGGCAGAGATTGGAGCATAATATCAACCTGGGTTTCCCCGTCAATATAACCTCCCATAACCTCAAGCTCATTGAGCTGCGCCATAACCCTGAGAGCATGCTCCCTTACGGGTGTGCCCTCGGCCATGCGCGTACTCATCAGAGCACTCAAAGCCTCTTGCCTAGCAGCCCTAGACTGATGTCCGAACAGATCCCTGAGATTGAGAAGTATATCTGCTGCAGTGTCCTTAGACTGATGCTGATGTTGAAGAACATTCGACATAGAAGCCAGAATGTAACACTTCGCCATCTCATCAGCCTTCTTCCACCGAGCATACTCCTCTTTCTCCTGCTCAGGAGCATCAGCCGCCGGCACCGCCGGGCAAGCATCAGTGATAGCAAACTTATAACCCTCAGCAGTCAACACTATGTCTAAGTTCCTCTTCCAATCAATGTAATTAGGACCAGTAAGTTGATTTTCTTTTAGAATGACAGACAACGGATTGAACGACATGATGAATATCCTGAGAATCATGCAAATAAATTTTACAGATTAAACACTTTTGAATTTAACTGTTAATATTGATATCCTCAAAACAACATTAACTTAAATCCACCGATATCTATTACACCTTGTGAGAATGCATGCTACGAGGGTCGCCCTACAAACTCGCATTTTGTAAGAGAAGGGCTTTTCTAAGGCCCATTAATTTCCATAAGTCGAAACCAAATTCATGACGAACGAAATTAATAGTCGGTCTCCATTTGGCCATGCAATAGAATTCAGGGACCCCGAAGGGGGGTTAATAAATTTAATCGCATTCTAAGTGAATCCCATTTCTCGGTCCTAAGGTCGTCAAATTTGATTATACGTCATCCGAGGGGAAGCCCGTACGCTCTCATAAGATTTCCTCTAACCGTCTACTTTTAGAAATTTGTCCTGGTAATTTTCTACAATTAATTTTAGCAATGTCACCCGAGGGGGAGCCCATAACCGCAATTAATTGATTTACCGACAAATTAGAAATGGAGGCCTTAGGAATTTTACAATTAACTTTAATTTAAAATCCCTTCTCAAACTTAGTATAACTTAATGAGGATTTTTAACTATTTATACAATTCCAAATTAATCTATGTTAATGCAATAATTAATTAACATGCATATTAATTCATGCAATTCTAAATTAATCTATGTCAATGCAATAATTAATTAACATGTTCAATAATTTATGCAATTCTAAATTAATCCATGCCAGTGCAATAATTAATTACATGCATAATTTATTGACACAAGTCTAAATTAATTCTATGCATTACATAATTAATTAACATGCATAATTAATCTAGCAATACTAAATAAATCCCATGCAAGAACATAATTAATTAACATGCATAAATAATAATTTAATGGCATAATAAATTTAATTAAATAAATAAATAAATCCACTATTATGACCATTAAATATTGAGTCTCCTTAAACAAGGAAACTGTGACAGTTCTTTTCCCTATTCAACTGGAACTCCTTTAAGCAGTAAAATCCTGGTTGATCTTGTACTGCTTGATCATCAAGGCAAAAACGAACCACCAGCTGCCGCCACCAGTCCGCCGCCGCCGGCCACCGGTCGCCGCCTGCCAGTTCGCCGGAAAAAGCCACCTTTTTTTTTTTTTTTTTTTTTTCTTTCGAGGCTCGTTGATCTCTTGTGATCTCCCGGTTATCAACACACGATCACAACACGAAAAATATAATTTACAAAATTACATAATTCGATCCTAGATCCAACGTTTGGATATACATGTTTTCTAAACAAATAATTAAATCTATCCGGTCAACCCCCGGGCGAATAATTATTACAAACATTCATCCATAAATTCCTCGACATGCCCGAGGCTTTAAAAACAAATTTAAAACCATACATCACATTCAACAACATTCATCAAACACATAATCGGCCATAATAGTGGATTAATTATTTTCCTGCAAAACCGAGTTATGCAAATATAATCCAATATATGGCTGCGTTAGAACACATCTTGTCAAATAAAGCCGTAAAAATTCGAACTTTGTACAAAACGAATTAACCAAGTGCTCTGATACCACTTGTTGGGATCTGTGAGGATCTCGTTATGTACAAATCACGAATTCAATAGCAAACGTAAACCTATGCGCAGCGGATCTAAAGGTTTGACGTAGAGAACTTACGGCTTAAAATTTATGTAGATCTGGTTGACCACGAACGGTTGACCGCAATTGATTGACCGCAAATCACGTCTTGGGTTGTGCGAACAAGATCAGATCAAAACTGGATCAAACGGATGCAAACAGATCAAAACAAAATTTTGCTGCCTGGCACCTTCTGGCGGCGCGTGGGGGCGCGTGCGGCATCGGATTCCGGCGACGTCGGCGGCGGTGGAAAGCTCTCGTCGAGACGGTTGTGTGGGTATACTGTACGTCTCAATCGGAATTCCGGTTAGTTCTGTAGGTCAAAATATATTTCGTCTCGTTTTACCTACAGATCTTCTACTGTATTACTCAATACACCCTTCTTCAACTTGTACCAGTGGAGCAACAAGAAGAAGATAAAGCTCGAATGAGATCTAGAGAGAGAGACGTGTTTCACGTGAGATGTGAACTCTATTCCTTCTCATGAGCTTAATGATGTATATATAGAGCTACAGTAGGGACCCTAAGGAGATTAGGAAAAGGGCTCCTTAATTAATTAGACTAACTGTGGGCCAAGCCCACTCCTCTAATTAATTAAATAATATTAATGGGCCATCAACATTATATTATTGCACTCCCTCTTCCTAGCCCAAATTACATTTGAGACTCCAATAATAATTACTCGATTTACCTCCCCACGTTTAAGATATAATGTCCATTAATTAATTCGATTACTCACAATAAAGAATTAATTAATTTATTATTATTTCACCGAAGCTAGCGCTCGTTCATCACATTCTTATTATGCCGGAATTTAATCCACTTGCAGGGTTTAGCATAACAATCCTTCATGAACTCACTCCGGGGACATCATCAAACTAACGCACATGGTGACCGTAAATATCCTAACAGCACATCCTATATATAATAATATTACCCAAAACAGTAGGAATATTAATCCAGCGAACTGAACCTCACCCATGTGAATCAAAGTAATATATATTATATATATCTGCCTGTTTAATATCTTACGGGTTAAGAGAACGCAGTAATTAACCGAGGCCTAGTTCATTTACGACGATCAGTATAAAATGAACTTCTCCTCTCTGGGATCCTGTTCAATACATAAATGTACTAGTGCAACTAATCAGTCAAGACAAACTGTACAGTTGACACTACAACCGTTCGGATGGAGTGTTCATGTCCATCTAGGTTGTGAACAACTATTCTCATTCGCAAGTGACTGATAGAGTGATCTTCGGTTCGCCCGATGACGACCCACCCTATCTAAGTGCAGAACAACAGAACGTAGAATTTGTTTAATCTAACATGATTCTCATTCATAAAGGGTAAATGTGCAATTATCATGCAAAGTCAAGCTTTCAGTATATAACACTAACAGCTTGTGTTTTATGTGGACAAATGATGTGATGCATGTTAAAATATTATGTAGATTCATTTTTTTTAGATTTATTTTGTGTGGTATTTTGCCGGGAAATATTCACATTAATTGTGGAGTGTGATGATAAAATGTAGCTTGTTGTTTTATAAAGTGCAACGTCTAGCTTTAAAAAGTGCAACATCTTGTTTTATAAAGTGCAACGCGTTATTCTATAAAGTGCACTAGTTTATACGATACTAGATAAATTATGTGTATTCAAAAACTAGTTTTAATAGATATAATTGTACATCGAATTAACCTAAATTCTTAATATATTTTATTATTTATTATTATAAAATATATTTAATATTAAATTTATTTAATATTTTATATTATTGTTTGTTGAAAATAAATAATATATATATATATATATATTGAAATATAAAATATTTTATTTATAAAATATTTTATAAAATATTTTATATTATAGTTGAAATATTTTATAAAATATTTTATATTGAAATATTTTATTTATAAAATATTTTATATTATAGTTATAAAATATTTAATAATTGTACACTTTAGAATCATTAATATGCATTTATCACAATGTTGCTATAAATTACATACTTGCCATTTTCCAATGGACCATAATTAAAAATACTCAAAGTTCATAAAATTGCAAATACGTCCTTCAATATTCTCTAATTTTAAAAAAAAAAGTCAAATGAGACCTAATTCCCAAATCAATTTTTGCAGATTCCATCGGATCTTATGACGCCATCTCCGGCGACCGCGACCATCCTGGCTCGGGTCTGGAGTCCATATCAGCAAGCACCGAGCTCCTGTTGAACGCCGCCGCGTGGACGGCCCGTCGGCATCCTCCTCGGAACAAACATTCGCGACGCTGGCCACGGAGACCTCTCCGACGACACCGATGTGACCAATTCCGACTGCCAGGTTCAGGAACAGCCGTGTATCTAAAAGGTAAATCGGTTGGTGTCACCGTTGAAGACGACCTTCTTGTCGGATTTTGAGCGACGGGAGACGATGGATGAAAAAGGGCCGCGTGCTGTTGTATGTTGATTTCTCCGGTGTTGGCGCCTGTTGCACCTTAATCGACGAGGTGGAATAAGGATGACGAAATGACGGCGGCCGGTTCTCGGGTGGAGGAGGATGTCCGAGTCGTCGAGTTCAGCGGCGGCAATTCGAAGCTCCGACGGCGTGGCATCACGGCTGAAACAGCAGACGGGAAGCGACGCCTAAGGAGTCGGTCACGCCTATTGATGGCGGGGATCGGGGTACGGCGCCGGGCGGGCACTGTGTGTGTATGTGTGTGTAACGGTGTGTGTGCGTGCTTTGGGGAAAGAAAGATGTGTGTGTGAGAGATACAGACGTGTGAGGGAGAGTTAATGGGAGAGAGAAACATGAGGTGTCATTGGTGAGGCCCATTAATGTGGTGGATAATTAATTGGTGTATGAGTAAATGTCTATAATACCCTTAATGAAAGTATAATGTTGACTTTTTTTTTAACCACTAGATCATCCAATCTCTGCCCATGGTTCATTCTAATTTTTTTTACAAATCACCATTCTCATGTGAGTGCGACCCTATATATATATATATATATATATATATATATATATATAGAGAGAGAGAGAGAGAGAGAGAGAGAGAGAGAGAAGGGATCATATGAGAATGAGGGATAATGCGAGAAATAAGAATGATCCTACACCATTAGATTCATGATATTAATGGGCAAGATGAAGTGAAAATTGAATAACCTGGTCAAACACACGGTGGCAAAACTGTAAATAAATAGAATCTTGTGGTCAAATCTATATCATTACGGGCAGTTCTGTAATTTCTCCACCCACCCACTTAGTGGGTCCCACCACTAACAAAACAACTCATTCTCTCTCATACCCTCTCCACACACGCACCAAACACACACTCACACACACAAAAAAACTCGCACAAACGTACGGAAAGGAGCTCGACATTCACCTTCCTCATCTGGCGCCGGCCGCCGACCGTCGTCACCCGTCACTTCATCATCGGCCACCGTCATCCCTTAATCCGCCTCGCACATCAGCACAGTCGTCGGACGACCACCAAACCGCTGTCGCTGTCCACCAAACGTTCACTCTCCTCCGTACTCAGCCACGGCTCCGCCGCCCACCAAATCAACCGTGTTATCCATATCTTCCGTCGCGTCGCTCATTCCTCGCCGTCCCCACTGATTTTTTGTTGAAATTTCATATGAAATCTGGGCCTTCTTTATGCAATTCAAACTTTTGATCTGTCATGTGCGTGAAATCAGGGCTCCCCGAGGTAGGCGTCGTACGTCGAAGGCCCGTCGGCGGCGACCATCGCCGTGATTTTGGTCGGAGATGTTGCAGTGGGGGAGATAGAGCTAGGGCATGTTTTTGAGAATTTGATAAGACATAAGGACCTATTTGCAATTTTATAAGTTTTATTATATTACAATTTAATGTATTATTTACTGTTGCTGCATTATTGATGATGGTTGAGATTGTGGACAACGAGATATCTAGATAGATATATAGACTGCACACAATTCTAGGGCCCGTTCTTCATTGGATTGATTTTAATTGAATTTAAGTTTCTCAATTTTTAACATCCACTTGACATGCTTGATCTTCATTAGCTAGGTTATGTAGATGAGAGTTATTATGTTTTTTGCTTGATATTAATGTTATTTTTACATAAAAATAAATAACTAAATAATAATAATATTGATAATATTAATAATAACTATAATTTTTATATAATTAGGGCTCGGTTTTTTACAATTTAAAAAAAAAACAAGTCGACATTGAACCGGAATAACCGGGTTTTTTAAAGTAAAATTAAAAAAAAAAATCAAACCAAATATAAGATTTCGAACCAAAATTTTAAGTTCGGTCCATTTTGTTCGATAATGTGTAATCTGATAGTTATTATTGTTCAATTCGTATAACCATAATGTGCAATTGCGATACATAAAAATATATAAAACCTAATACTATTTTTTTATTTCTTTTTTGTTTTTTGTCGTTTCATTCATTATGGTGCATTATGTTAGTCATAAATGTGCAATTGTTTAACACTATTGTGCAATTATAACACATTTATTAAATCATACATTTTTTAATAATTTGACTTCGAATCATACTAAAACTAAATCGAAATAATAGTTTATTATTTATATTATAAAAGTATAATTAGTATTTTTAATATATTTACTTAATATTTTATATTATACTCAGATGAAAAAATAAATATTATATATATAAATCATATAATTTTGTCGGTTTGATTATTTAAGTTATTTTTGTAAAATAAAGACGATATCGAACCAAACCAGATTTTTAAACTGAAAAACAGATAATCGAACTTAAATAAAAAAAAAATCGAATGAAAGTTTAATATCAGTCGGTTTTCGCTATTTCATATGAAAAATATATTTAATATGTTAATATTTTTGTTTATTAATTTTATATTGTTTATGGTTGAAAACAAATTGTGTACGGTCGGTTTCGATCACTTTTGTACAATATGATAGACAATGTGTAGCGTGTTGTTTTGTAAAGTGCAACGTGTTGTATTATAAGGTGCAAAGTGTTGTATTATGAAGTGCAACATGTTGATGTATAAAGTGCACTGCTATAATTTTGGTACGTTACCTTGATTATATTTTGTGTGGATAACTGATGTGATTGATGTTAAAGTATTACGTATATCTGTTTTTCAGATTTATGTTGTGTGCTATTTTGGCCGGTGCTGTTGACGTTAACTGTGGAGTATGGTGATAAAGTGCAACTTATCGTTTGTAAAGTGGAATGTGTTGTTTTATAAAGTGCAGTGTTATGATATATAAAGTGCACTATTTTATGTGATCACATATAAATTATTTTTTTATTAAAACTATATTTAGTAAATATAATTGTATATCAAATTAACCCAACTAATTGAAATAATATATTTTGATATTATCATACAATCTATTGATTGGGGTATTTTTTATGTGCATTTAATTTTATAATAGATCGGGGTATTTTTTATGTGTGTTTCAATTTTATGATAGACCAGGGAATTTTTTATGTGTATTTCAATAATAATATAATATGTATGTGTATAAAACAATATATAAAAAATAATATGTTGATAGTGTGCAGTGAATTGTTTTATAAAGTGCAACATTGTGTTTTATAAAGTGCGGTGTGTTGACATATAAAGTGCACTACTCTATGTGATGACATATAAATTATGTTTTTTTTTTAAGACTAGATTTGGAAGATAAATTATTTATTACTTATATTATGAAAATAAAAAATAAAATAAATTCATCATTTTTATTTATTATTTTATATTATTCTTATATAATATATTTATTTATAATTTTAATTATATAAGTATAGATAATATATAGAAAATAATATTTTATATACTTTTTATAAATTATAGATTTGACAATGGACTAAATTAGAATAAAATCAAAATTGTAAAAATTGCACATAAATCCCTAGAACTCATCAAATGTCCAAATGAAGACCCAAAATCTCTAATTCCCAACATCAAACTCCCGTCACTGCCTAATCAGGTTGCCCCGGCCGTCGTTGAACGGACGGCCGTTCCCAGCCCAGCCACGAGCTCGCCGGTGATGGAGTTCGTCAATTTTGATTTTATTTTGGATAGATTCTTTCGACTCCGGCGACTGTTATGGAGGTCGGCTCCGGCGACTATGAAGGAGGGGGACGACAGGTCAGCGACCGAATTGGTCGAGGTGTTTTGGCCCGCATATGTGAAATCGAAATGGTCGGAAGAAAACGCCGGCGACTGTGAGTTGGTTGATGGCGGCGGATGAAGGCGTGGCAGCGATGGAAGAAGGAAGAAGGCGATGGCGGTTTGGCTGGTGGTGGTGACGAGGGCGTACTGGGCGGAGGCCGGCGCGCCGGTGAGAGGAGAGGTCACGGTTGATGTGCGGCTATGAGAGAGGTTGCGGGTGGCCACCGGCGATGGCGGGAGATAGCCGGCAATGGCGGGGCAACGGCCGGTGAACCAGCCTGTGAATGTGTGTGTTTGTGTGTTTTTTTCTGTGTATACTATGTGTGTGTGTGTGTGTTAATTGTGACAGAGAGAGAAAATGGGAGAGTGTAATTGATAGAGAGGGAGAGCATGGGGTCGGGTAGTTGGCATGTAGGTGTTGGCGTATTATGTGGAGTGGGTCCCACTTATTTGAATTGGTGTGAAAAAATACCATAATGCCCTTAATGAAGGTATAGATTTGACTCTTTTATTAGTCATTAAATCATCCGATCCGATGGCTAAGATTTATTCTTATTTCTCGCATTAAGCACCATTCTCATGTGAGCGCGACCCTATATATATATATATGTATGTATGTATGCCAACTAATTTATATGTTCCACGCACATTTACAAAGAAGCATCGACCATAGTATTTTTTAGATTTTTCTTTCATTAATATCGAGTAAAATGTTTAGCAATATGAAAAAAAAATATTGTCATACCATTTTTTACCATAAGCGGGTATATTGGATCAATATATAGTATACCAAATAATCTGGTTTTATACTTTATCTATGAAATATAAAAAAAAAATAGTATTTAATTTTACCACGAAATTAATTGTCTAACGTATAAAACAAAATTGAGACCCACGTTTTCTATAGATAAAAAATAAATAAAAAGACCCAAGAAATAGTTATTAAAGAATAATTTAATAGAAACTGCCATTAACACAATTATTTTAGAATAATTTTATAAAAAAAATTATTTGCGTAATTAGGGTATCTTAAATATTTAAATTTTTATGATCTAATTATTTCCTTAATTATTCATGATTTGAGTAATTATTTATTAACTATTATTTAAATAAAAATTATCATTAACACCATATTTTTAGAACCATTTTTCGCCAATCGAGTAACTGATTATTGTTGTCGATATTTTCATAATTGTATTAATTATTTGTAGATTGAATAAATCAGTCGAATTTACACTGTTTGCGTAATCAATGTATATTAAATCTGCATATCACAAAAGAATTACACAAAAAATATAAAATACTTATTAAATAATAAATTATACAATTTAGTTAAAAACTTTTTACCAAATCACGCAATTGATATTGCATCCGAATTTCCGTATTTAGATAAATCAACCAGTCACGTGATTTAAGTAATTAAGTTATCTAAAAAATAATTTTTTTTTTATGGCTTAATTATTTTCTTAAATAATGAGCCACAATTTTCATAAGTGATTATTTGAAATATATCATAAATTGTTAAATTAATTTTCCGAAATGGTAAATAGATTTTTTTTGAAGGGAAATAGTTATTATTTAAAAAATAATCAAACTTTTTTATATACAAATAAATTTCTTCGCATAAAAACAAACACGTTAGAAGTAGTATTCAAACCAATGAGAATGGAGTTTTTTTAGTTTTTACCACGTTGTAGTGTTTCAATTTACATAAATTTAACTTTGTAAAATCACATTAAATTTATCTTGTCAACTCAATTAATACGTTTAAAATAATATTCTATGTACTCTTGAAAAATATGTCTAAATAACCTTAATTTAATAATATTTTCTACTACTTTGGAAGCAACTCAGTACATTCTCCATTTTAAAACGGATCACAAATTCTTGTATAAAACGGTCTAACAGTTGGATGAACCAACCCATTATATTGATTTTAACAAATAATTTTTTATTAAGTTATTGTTATATTTTAGCTTTTATTATTTGTAGAATATAAGTTATTAAATTTACATTTTCATTATTTATTTTTTTGTAATAAATATGTTTTTGTTATTTAATTTTGGTAAATAAATCATATTGAATTCTTGAATAAACCTATGAGATTTACGTAATACTTTTTACAAATAATTATGAAATACTCTCAAATTTTCTATTTGTAGAAAAAACTGATGTTTTAAGAAGTAAAGCGGTCAATTGTTTTACACACGATAAAGGGGAAATAAATCAATTTGAAATTAAACTAATATTCATGAGATCTTAATTGTCATAATATTGACTTATTTTTTAAGATATGTATGTCATAATATTGTCATAATATTCACTTAATATTTAAGATA